TGAAGTCTGCCTTGAAGTGACACTAAGGCAGGGGTCTCCAACCTTGGCAATTGAGTTGAATTCCACCAGGCTTAAAGTTGCCAATGTTGGAGACCCCCTGTACTAAGTAAGGGATGAGTTTAGGCGAGAAGTGGTTTTTGTCTGCTATTTGTGACTCAGGTCTATAACACAGAAAGGAAGACTTAATCTTGGTCAACTTTGAGAGGAAGTTTGATGGTTTTGGGGTTTTTTATAGATTATCCTCTGAACATTTCGTACCTAATTATCTCAAAGAGGATTAATACAAATTCAAGAACTGTTTGATGCTGTTCAGAAAAGCAGTTTGTGCCATCTTGTTTTATGGCGAGAAGCTCCCCCCCCCCCCCACATACTTGTACAGATAGTCCTTGACTTACAACCATTCATTTAGTGGCCATTCAGAGGTACACCGGTACTGAAACGTGACGTAGGACCATTTTTCACACAACCGTTACTGCATCCCCATGATCATGTGATCAAAATTCAGATGTTTGGCAAATAACTCATATTTATGATGGTTGCTGTGTTCCAGGAGTCATGTGAATCACCTGCCACCTTCTGACAAGCAAAGTCAATGGGGAAGCGAGATTCATTTAAAAACCTTGTAACTAACTTAACAATGGTAGTGATTCACTTAACAACTGTGGCAAGAAAGGTCGTAAAACAGAGCCAAAATCACTTAACCCCTGTCTTGTAGCAACAGAGATTCCAGTTCAATTGTGGTCGTTACTCGAGGACTACCTGTATAGATTTTTACCCTTGTGTTTGAAACTCGATCCTATGGCACTGAATGGAGCATCCTGGACCATATACCCATATCACTTTGTGAGTTATGAATGAGGAATTGTTTCTGTCAGGTGTGGCTCCATTCAAAATCCAAGAAAGAAAACCTTAGACTCCATTGTTATAGAGAAGAGGATGTTTACTGAATTTGAAGTGGTAGCATCAGTAGAAAGACAAGATCTGAGGCAATAGGCGCGAAAATCACATATAGAAAGTTATCCCATATTCCCACCCCCAACAGTTCAAACTGGCCATCCAATCTGAGGTGTTGTGGGGGCCATTTCACACATCTGGTATGCCAAGACAGTTAACCTTGGCCTGGAGAGATAAGAGGCTACTTCTGCGCAGTAAGCATAGTCAAGAAAACATCCCATATTTTACATTTCACCAACTTAAACCTCCAGCACCCTTCCCCCCATGAAGCCCAATTATTCTTCCCTCCACCCTTTTCTATGGCAGCCACAAAGACAAGCAGAAGAAGGATTCTTGGAGGCTGGCAGTTTCTGTCATTGATGTCCACAGTAACTCTTATTTCTGGATAACCTATAAAGCACAGAGTTGGATTACATGAAAGTACTCGGAGCGATAAAAAGAAAATAGAGATGGAAGGATGGATACAGCAGGAGAATGAAAGTTATGGATAACTGTAGAATGTTACTGGGAAAGCATGGAAAAAACTCTGAATCCTGTCAAGGATGCAAAGATGACACCTTTCATTGATTTACGCATAAGTATGTACGTGTGTGAGGATGGATTATGTGACGTCGGTTGGGGCAAGAAAAGGCTAGTTTAGGGTAGAGATGGAGGCAGAGTTTCCATGTGGAGAATTCAGAAATGTTTTTCCTTTTAAGTAGCAAAAAGGAAGAATGTGTAATCAATTACCTTCGTATTTTAGGATATATTGAGGGACGCTTTAGAATTTATATTGGGTATATAAATTATATAAATATATATAAAAATATATTTTTTGTAATAACAAGAGGGGAATTAGTAGAGTGGGCAGATAAAGACCAAACTAAACATGCTGTCAAATTTGTTTTATACAAATTATTCACCAGATGAAAACAGAAGAGCAGATGGAAAGCCACCGTGAAGTTGAACTGAAGATCTACAAGCAAATTAACAAAAATCCTGCAAAAGCTGGGCAAAATTCCATTATCCAGTATTTTCAAGGTTCTTTATGAATATTCATGATTCTTTTTACAGTTTTGGGTAGAAGACGTAAACTGATTGTTACAAATAGTAATTTTTTTTCCTTGTAACTTTGATGAATAAAGTTTTTACTTATTTTTTTTGTAATAACTTGGCTGTTTTGCTTATTTGAATTTGCTGAACAAAGTATATTTTCTGCTGGTAACACCCTAAACCATTAATAGGTCATTACATATTCCTCACAGTAGTAGCATCTATAGAAAGGCTTTTTCCAGAAGCCCATGTCCAGCTACCCTTCCTCTCACTCTCTGTGAGATGTGGAATTCAAATAGTTTGCATTGAAGCAGGAATAAAATTTACTTATTTCTGTAAATTATAAGTTCCAGTGGAAGGGGTGTGGTGCATTTACAGGTAAAGAATAACATTTAGTTGGTTTTTAAAGCAGAAGTAAAGTCCAGTTCTAGATAAACATTTTGGGTTCCTCCTAGATTGGCCTTGGAACAAAAGAGTAGCTTATCAGGTTAAAATAGCTTGGGACCTTTATTAGGCCCAATAAAAAAAAAATATCACAAATTAACAAACATTTGGGTTTGGTTTTTTCCCCCCTTTGGGGTGAATCTCGAATAGAACTCAGAAAATTGAATATTTGGATATTCAAGTCTGCATGTCATAAATTCTGTATTTTGCTTAGTGCAGGAGGCAAAATCATGAACAGTATCACAGGAGCCTTAGTGTATTTTTTTCCTTGGATTTCAGTTTTAAAATAGATTTAAACATACAAATAGGATAACAGAGTTGGAAGGGGCCTTGGAGGTCTTCTCGTCCAACCCCCTGCTAAGGCAGGAGACCCTATACCATTTCAGGCAAATGGTTGTCCAATCTCTTCTTAAAAACTTCCAGTGTTGGAACATTCACAATTTCTGGAGGCAAGTCGTTCCACTGATTCATTGTTTTCAATGTCAGGAAATGTCTCCTTAGTTCTAGGTTGGTTCTCTCCTTGATAAGTTTCTACCCATTGCTTCCTGTCCTGCCCTCTGGTGCTTTGGAGAATAGCTTGACCCCCTCTTCTTTGTGGCAGCCGCTGAGATATTGGAACATTGCTATCATGTCACCCCAAGTCCTTTTCATTAAACTAGATATACCCAATTCCAGCAACCATCCTCTATATGTTTAGCCTCCAGTCCCCTAATCATCTTCGTTGCTCTTCTCTGCACTCTACACATTGTAGATCTAATTGATCTACAATTAAGATCAAGAGCTGAAATGTAAATGGTCTGCCAGTTCTGCACTAAAAGAAAAAAAAACAGGTATGCAAAACATTTTTAAGTTTCAAACAGTTGTCTTGAGATGAAGACTCTGAGACTTACTGTTCTTATTGAAAGTATTTCAATACTTCCATTCTGCAAAGGGACCTATTTGGAATTTAGAATACTTTCTAAAATGGGCACCGTGCATCCAGTAATTTTGGGACAGCTGTTGCAAACTCAGAATGCTTAACATGCCACTAAAAAGTAGGCAGGATCAGGAAGGAAAAAAAATAGAAGGAGGCAAAGGAGAAAAACATATTTTATCCTACTCTCACCTTAAATGGTTCTTAAAGTAGTATTTTCCCAGTCAATTTCAGTAGAAAACCTACCATACCAAATTCAATAAGAAACTGAACTAGATCTGCAGAAGGTTAATACAAGAGCCACATACAAGCTACCAGTTGTCCTTCCTTGACCGAGAAGGCCTAAATTTCCTCATAAATTCAATAATTTGTCCATGAAGACAGTTTGATGGGTTTGACGCTTGGACTTCGTGATCAAACTGCATATCAAGATATTTCAAAGGCTCAGCTTGTGAAAATCCATGGGAGATCGATGCAGCTGTCCTGCAAGAGAGAATGTTGTAGTCCAGTAACTGTTTATAGAGATGGCTATACTGCGTAACCCATTTGTCATTTTGAGATGGTTGTGGAGGGAGGGGGAGGAAATGGCAGATGGAAGGAAGATAAGACTTCCTTGTTTTGTTCAACTTGTTTTTCATTGAATTCCTTGTTTTGGACCACACTGTTTTTGTTCAGTTGCATTATAATTATAGTGTTCTACGAATAAATTAGCTTTTCATTTGTGAAGACCTTTTGGGAGGGAGATTCCCATTCTGCTGTATCTTATAATACCCTATTTTCTTTCTTTTCTGATTTTTTTCTGTATCTTAAGGTGGATTAATAAAGTCCCATAAATAAAATATATATATCTATACGTAGTCAATTATTTTTCAAATGGATTTGACACCATTATGGGAAAGCCCATAAAAGCATCAATACACAAAGAGTGCTATCTGGGAGAAGTCTATTCCAAATTCCACTTCTAGTGGGAATTATTAAGGCAGTTCTATCGTTTTTGACTTCCAGTTCTCTGAATCTTTGCCACTGTCGTAGAAGTTGGAATTAATAGCAATTGACATTTTAAATCAAATGGAAATTCCTGGGTCACTTACTTGGTTTAATTAGATCTGCCTTCTAGTTAGTTTGCACATACTTATCTGTGATGACAAGTCTGATTTAACACAATATGGTTTGCTTCTCATCAGACTTGTGTCAGCCTGCCTGGAACATCAAATTATAGTTGTTTATTACAACCTGGGAATTTCAACAAAATCACCAGTGTAGATCAATGATAAAATCCTCACCCAAAGGATTGTGAATGAATGCATCTCATAGTTGAAGTTTGAAATTTGCAGAAGAGGAAACAGATATGTTAAGTCTCTGTGCTAGGCTGAACAGATGGAACTGGGTTGATAGTAGCTTTCCTGTTACTGGTACCAGCAGCCTGATAAAAAGAATAAGATAATGAAATACATTTAAAATGTAAGCTGGGATTCTCTAGCAGCCAAACACCGATAACAAAAATGGAAGTTGGGGATTTTTTTGTGTCTAAATGTTGTATCCAAAATAAATATTTGCCAGTGTTCAGTTACTGTAGTATTCCTACTGTATGTGTTCCTGCTTCTACAGTTCCATTTGTTTAAATTAACACTCGGCTTCCCTCATTTTTCTAACACAGCTCCGAGACACATATGCAAAGAGTAGCTTTGCTTGCTTCACCAGGGAAAACTTTTTCCTAGAAGATATGGATCCAAATGATAAAGAAGATGGTGATCCCTGTTGGGAGGTCAAATGGCAGCTGTCGAGGCTCATTAGAAAGGTACTCCTTTTTTAAAATACCCCTCAGTCCTGTCTCAAATGGAAATCAGGGGACATAGATTTTATTCCTTTCTAAGATTTATAGTGTCTGTTTTAATAGGATATGTCTGAACTTTCTGGAGTAAGCACTCAAAAATTCTAAAATGCAGATAGAAAGAGAAACACTTGCAATCAGATATTCCAGATTGTTAAACTTTAATGCTCATGGGAGGTATTTTGAGAGGGAAACGGGCAACTCAAAAAACTGTTGTAGGTGATGTGTGTTTATTTCTGTTGCTGACTTGAGCTTCTCCAGGGAGCGAGTTAAGGATGTGTGTGCATGGTCTCCCCTCTTATTTTTTTTAAAAAAAGTTTTAAAACTTTAAAGATCACAATTTTCTTTGCTAATAAGCAAGAAAGTGGCTGAATGAGTTTTGCCCCATTTTACAATCATTCTTGCAACACTTGTTAAATAAATCACCTCAGTCGTTAAGGTAGTAGTAACACAGTTGTTGAGTGAATCTGGCTTCCCCACTGACTTTGCTTATCAGAAGGTTGCAAGAGGCAATCACATGACCCCAGGACACTGCAACTGTCATAAATAAGGGCCAACGAGGACCCAGATTGTTGGGAGAAATATGCTGATTCTGTAAACCGCTTAGAGAGGGCTGTAAAGCACTGTGAAGCGGTATATAAGTCTACATGCTATTCCTCTCTCTCCCCCTCCCGTGTGCATCAAATACTTTGGCCACCTAATGAGAAGGCAGGACTCACTGGAGAAGAGCCTAATGCTGGGAAAGATTAAGGGCAAAAGAAGGGGATGACAGAGAATGAGGTGGCTGGATGGAGTCACTGAAGCAGTAGGCATGAGCTTAAATGGACTCCAGAAGATAGTAGAGGACAGGAAGGCCTGGAGGAACGTTGTCCATGGGGTCATGATGGGTCAGACATGACTTCGCAACTAACAGCAATAGTTCCTTAGACTATTCCAAAAGATATTTTTGGGCAGATAGAAGGATATCTCAGTGTTTGGATTTTTGATGCTGCATTCTAATAACACCAAGAGGAATAAAATGATAATTATATTTGTAATCGTAATTTGTAATTGCAGATGGTGATGAAGAATCGTGCAGAAGAAGGAACATCAGCTTCAACACAAGGTTGGGAAAAGTTTATGATCAAATGATTCATGAATGGCTGCATTATTGCTCTGAGGAAATGAATGAGATATTCATTGAAGGACAGATTATGATGTAATCTAGATTATTTAAAGAAGCTGAACATGGACCGCTCAGCTCTAGGAGTGACGTCTGTGTCTTAAGAAAACAATTAAATTGAACTGATCCTTCCTGCATTATCCATAAGTGGATAAGGAGATAATAGCATTTATGGAGGCCATAATCAAGGAACAGAGAGCACACTTGAATTTACAGAAGGTCTAAGGTTCAGTGTCCCAGTAAGTGATGGACAAAGCTTCTACCAGTGATCCCGAGGAGATGCCGGTCATCAGAATAAATATGTGGACATTTTACCTCGGCTACAGTAATGGGGAAAATGGAAAGAAGGACCAAGCCATCACTTCTGCTGAAAGAACGATTCCATTGAGTTGTTCTCCAACGGTTTCCATTCTAATTAGTTCTCTAAAGTGCTAGACATCCCTCATTTTCTTACAACATCCATGCTGCAAATTCTTTTGGAGCTACACCTTTTTTATACTGTAGTATAAGTACTATCTTCTGCCAACCTAGCAGTTTGAAAGCATGTAAAAATACAAGTAGAAAAATAGGGACCACTTTGGTGGAAAGGTAACAGAGTTCCATGCACCTTCAGCGTTTACTCATGCTGGCTACATGACCACAGAGACGCCTTTGGACAGCGCTGACTCTTCAGCTTTGTAATGGAGATGAGCACCTCCTCCTAGAGCCGGAAACGACTAGCACATGTATGCAAGGGGAACTTTACCTTACCTTTTATCAGTACTATAGCTTCTGTAGTCTGACCTGTCTAAGGGAGCTTCCTACTACATTCCTTCCCATATAAGGTGGTGTAAGCATCCATGTATCTCCCAAAGGTGCTTTTTCAGGAGGCAAGTGGACTTCCTTGGTTTTTTTTCTTTTGAAGATGTTTCGCTTCTCATTCAAGAAGCTTCTTCAGCTCCGACAGGATAGTGGGGAATGGAAGGATTTATATTCCTTGCAGACAGCTGGTCATCTGCATCCTTTTAAAGTATCCCCTTCCGTTCCCCACTGTCCTGTCAGAGCTAAGGAAGCTTGGATGAGAAGCGAAACGTCTTCAAAAGAAAAAACAAAGTCCAACTGCCTCCTGAAAAAACACCTTTGGGACAACCATGACCTGGATGACTGAGAATATCTACAGACATCCATGTATCTGTTTCATCTTTTCCTGTAATATGTATGTGTATGGCAAGGGGGGGAAACCATGGAATCTAAAAAAGGTGTCACAAGATGCAAAGGAAAGAAGAAGATTGGGTTTACCTGATATAAAATTATGTTTTGCAGCTTGTTATTTAAGCTGGATGAAAGACGGGGGGTTGCTGAGAAGGACACAATCTGAGATGTGGGTGGCATGGATGTTTCTGGTACGACAAAGCTAAGGTTGACATAGATTTTAAAAAGAGTTCCTGATAGGAAATTAAATTTTGGCATTTCTTTCTATCCAGACAATATTTCTCTAGATACCATTGCAAGAGATGTGCCTAGGAACCCCCAAGTCGCAGCTCACCTCACCTCAAGCAGAAATCCAAGGAAAGCTTTATTTGTACAAAGTAAGACATCTACTCATTCTGGGGAAAGTGGCTACTGTTTAGATGAATGGATTTATTTCTATTATAGATAGGTGGCAGCACTTGTCTGAGCTTGGAAGCTAAGCAAGGTGGGGCCTGGTTAATGGCTGGATGGGAGATTTCAGGTAAGTATCTTCCCCATTGTTGTGGGCTGAAATCAAAATATATTTCTGGCAAAGGCAATAGAAAAGCCACTTTCCCATGAGACAGAACAAAGCTGTTTTATTGTATCTATACAAACACCAGGAATCAAACTTGGCAATATCTTTTTCCTTATAAGAAAGAGAAGAAGCTGCTGATTACATAGCAACCCTTACATCCCTCTGGCTTTTTTGTTTTGTTTTGGCAAAAAAGAATCCAGAAAATGAAAGCAAAACTATATCAGGTAGGCCCATCCAAAAAATTAATAGTGGACTTGTCCAGGTAGGAAGGGAAATCCTATCCATTGGGCATGATACTTTGTATTATTTTATAAAATACTTTGTGATGATTTTTGTGATAAAATGTTTTATAAAATTTGCTAAACCTTAATTTCACTGGGATTTTGGACACTTTCTCTAAATTAGCCCATTTGATTATGGTATACTCCAAAGGTGCTTTTGTTTCTAAAAAAATAACTGGACTTTCTTCTTAGTTGGTTTTTTTTCCCTTTGAAATACATTTTATTTCCCACCCCATCCATGAAGCTTCTTTTTTTTTTAACTTTTTAAATATTTTTTATTGGTTTTTAAAACAAACATAAACAAACAAAACATAAAGACATCAAATCATCTTCCATATATGTACATACAGTGTGCCGGTTGGTTTACAAATTGTTTTGTGCTTCCATTTCATAGTCTTCAATTATAATTACATTGTATATAATCTCGTATTTTCAATCAATATATTAAATACATTAATATCATTATTAATCAATCATTTGACTATACTTTTATTCATTCATGTTTTCCAAAATGATCATATTTTACTTCATTTGTTTTATGACAATTCATATTATCATTCCAGATCTATCCTAGAATCATTTTGTAGATATAATAAGAAAAGAATACATCTTTATATATTTATTATTTTCTAAAAGTCTACATATTCCATTACTATATTTTATTATCTAATCATTGATAGAATAGATCCCAAATTTTATAAAATTGTTTATCATCTTGTTCTCTAATTTCAAATGTCAATCTACTCATTTCAGCACATTCCAATATTTTCTTAATGATTTCCTCCTGTGATGGTATTTTCTCATTTTTCCAGTTTTTAGCAAATACAACCCTAACCGCTGTTAATACATTTACAATCAGGTATTTCAAGTCTTTACTATATATTTCAGGTAAAATTCCCAATAAAAATATTTCTGGTTTCAAATCTATATGCTTTTTTGTCATTTTTTCCAACCACATGTGGATTTTAGTCCAGTATTTTTTAGCATCCGCACAAGCCCACCAGATATGGTAATATGAGCCAGGTATCTGATGACATTTCCAACATTTTTCGGATTTATTCTTGAACATTCTTGCTATTCTTATCGGGGGAAAGTGCCACCTGTAAAACATACAAATTTTCTTTATATGCTGTTGACATTGTCATTTTATAATGTTGAGACCACAATTTTTGCCATTTCTCTAGATCAATCCCTTATCCAAAATTCTTCCCCCAAGCAATCATAGTTTCTTTAAATTATTGTTCTTCTAGCTTAATTTCTAATAAATATCCATACAATTTTTTAATCACCTTTTCATCAGTATCTGTCAAAATCTTATCTAAGTCTGTCAATTTATCATAGAAACCTTCTGTTTTAAAATCTTTATCATACCTTGAATGTATTTGCGCATATGAAAACCAATTCATCTTTATACCTTGTTCCTCTAGTTTTTGGATAGATTTAAGTTCACCCTTTTCATTCAATATTTCACCATATCTGTTTGTTCCTTTTTGTATATTATAGGATAAGAAAATGCTTCAATAGTCTATAGCCAGACTGGAATTTTCAAATAACATTGTCTTTTAATCTTCTCCCAATTTAACCACAGAGACTCCCGTATATAATGTCTTCTAAAGTACCCCTGTGTTTTAGTTCCTTTATACCATAAGAAAGCATGCCACCCCAACAACAGATCATGTCCTTCTAATGTCAACAATCTAGTATTTCTTAATGAAAATAGTTGAACTGGACTATGTTAATATAGTTATGATGGGAGATTTTAATGGAAATGTAGACAATAAACTAGACTACACAGCACAGAAAACAATAAAGCAAAATAGAAAGACTCTCCCTAAATCTTTTTTTAAAATGGTAGATGAAATAAACTTAAAAGATACATGGAGAGAAAGAAATGCTAAAACTAAACAATACACCTTCTACTCAAATAGACACTTATAATGGTCCAGAATAGATATGATATGGATGTCAACAGAATTGTTAACTAATATTCAAGAAATAAATATTGAAACAAGTACTTGGGCAGATCACAATCCAATGACAATTAAATGGAAAGGACAAAGAAGAAGATCTAGATGGACGTTAAATAATACTATTTTAAAGGGAAAAGACTTCACACAGTGGATGGAGAAAAAATTGGCCTTTTTCTTTGGAGAAAACAAAAAAGAAGATACATCAATCCAGAATGTATGGGATACAATGAAGGCATATGCCAGAGGCTTGATAATAGACTATACAAGGAAAATAAATACCATGAAAAGATTAGCCTCTAAGGCATTAGAAGATGAGTATAAAGGACTCGAAAAAGAGCTACAGAAAATGCCACAGAGAAAGGACATTAAGTTAAAAATGTTTATAACCAAACATAAAATGGGTCTAATAGAAAAAGAAGAATTAGCACAAAAAATTAGAGGTGGCAAACAGAACTATTTTGAAGATGCAAATAAACCAGGTAGATGGTTAGCATATAAATTGAGAAAGGAGAAAGAATCAAGGAAAATATCACAATTAATAGATGACCAAGGCCAAGTTTGCTATGGTAGTAAAGAGAAGAAGGAAATTATTCGATATTATTATGGGAAACTATACACACAAGAGAATACTGATGAGGAAAAGAGTTAAACAGTATTTACAGAATGCTAATTTACCCCAGATACCTAAAGAGATTGAAACAATGTTAGAAAGCAATATAACGATGATGGAGTTAACTGAAGCACTTAAGAAACAAAATTATGGAAAGGCATCAGGCCCAGATGGACTTCCCGCAGAATTTTACAAAACATTACAAGAATCATTGAATTTTCCATTGCTAGAAGTTATGAATTAAGTTATGTTAAAGAAAAGGATACCTAAATCATGGTCAGAAGCTTATATCACACTTGTTCCAAAAGAGGAGACCAATCCATTACAAATCAAGAATTATAGACCTATCTCCCTACTAAACGCAGATTATAAAATCTTTTCTTCAATATTGGCAGAAAGACTTAAAAAATATTTAAATAATTTTATCCATCCTGACCAAAATGGATTTCTGCTAAAGAGACAAACCAAAGACAATATGAGAGTAATCTTGGACACTTTGGAATACTACGAGGCACATCCCGAAAAACAAATGGCTTTGATATTTCTAGATGCACAGAAGGCATTTGATAATGTGAATTGGCGATTCATGTTTTTACTGCTGGAACAGATGGGCTTTGCTAGAAAATTTATTCAAGCAATAGAAGCTATATATCATAAGCAGATGGCAAAGGTAATGATAGAGGAAGAACTGACAGAATCTATCGATATAAGAAAAGGAACAAGACAAGGGTGCCTACTATCACCTCTGTTGTTTGTGTTAACTTTGGAAGTGCTAAACAGAAACATTAGAGATGAAAAGAATATAAAAGGTATGAAAATTAAAAAGGAAGAATTTAAGTTGCAAGCATTTGCAGATGATCTGGTTTTTATCTTAGAAGACCCACTAGAAACAGCATCAAAATTGATAGAAAAGATAGAGACATATGGAAAGGTAGCTGGTTTGAAAATAAATAAAGATAAGACAAAGATCTTGACAATGAATATGCTATCAAGACAAAAGGAAGAATTGGCAGACCTATTGAAAATTCAGGTCACGAATAAGATCAAGTACTTGGGGATATACTTGACAGCAAGATGCAGTACACTAAAAGAGAATAATTATATCAAACTTAAACAGCAGATAGCACTAGATTTGGCGAAATGGGAAAATTTACAACTGTCATTAATAGGGAGAATATCAACAATCAAGATGAATATATTACCCAGAATTTTATGTTTGTTTCAAACAATTCCAATTAGGCTTGGAAAAGATTACTTTGAAGATTTAAATAAAATTGTGTTGAAATATATATGGCAAGGTAAGAAAGCGAGAATAAAGTTAAAACTTTTGCAAGATGCTAGAATAAGTTGAGGATTTGGTTTGCCTAATTGGGAGTTGTATTACCAAGCTACAAATTTGATGTGGGTTAAGGAATGGATAATATTAAGAAATACTAGATTGTTGACATTAGAAGGACATGACCAAGAAGCTTCTTCAATTCTAACTGAGCGGTGGGGAATGGAAAGTTTTATATTCTTTGCAGTCATCTGGTCATTAGCATTCTCAGAGGGTCCTTGAAGCTATTTGGGGGTTATCTGTGTCCTGAGAATCACCAGAATCAGTTTGTAAACAAATATGAAAGCTTCTTGGGACTGCTAGCCTCAAAATCTCTCAGAGAGTGAGCTAATAACCAGATAACCACAAAGAATATAAATCTTTCTGGTTCCCCACCAGTCAATTAGAACTGAAGAAGCTTCTTGGATGAGAAGCCAAATGTTTTTAAGTGGGGGGGAGGGGGGGGGACAATCAAGAAAGTCCAGTTGCCTTTTGGAAATAAAAGTACCTTTTGGGACAAGCATGACCTGGATAATTGAGAGTATCAATAGACATTGCATACCTTTTTGCCCTATTAAAGGTTATAGACATGAGCGTTTTTAGGATGCATGGATGGCCTTGAAACATACATTGTGAGAAAGGAACAAACTTGTAAAGGAGATTTAGCATAATAACCAGGCGCTAGATTTTTCCCATTTATTCACTGAGGGCTGCCTTCGCACGCTATGCAAATATTATACATAAATCAAGACAAAGTTAATATGTTGAGAAGAAGGGGCAGACCCAGAGACCAAACCTAACAGAATTTCTGGGGTTTCCAGAAGATTTAATAAACTCAGCTCAGAACCCACCATCCTGGGCTCTCTCAAAGTGAAGTAAACATTTTCACGTCCTAAAACTCGATGAAAATAGAGTGGATGAGTGCAGCCTGCTTTTTAGGCTTATGAAACCTGGACTAGATGAACGTAATTATTTCAGTTAAATCAATTTGCATTAAAATCAGTGGAGTGGAAGTTAATTATCCCTGCTTTAAGTTGTAATGATTTCACTTGAGGTTAAGTCTAGCCCATCATAATCTTTTGCTAGGTAATTAGTTAATTATTTAATGTTTCTTCCCCAAATAAATGTGTAGGCATATTATACATGTTCTTGATATATAATTTAGAGGCTACTTGTATTGCATTTTTAAGTAAAGCCAAATCCTTTCTGTGGCATATAAATACACTATTTTTTAAAAGCACTCATATTCTCTGCATGTAACCTTTATGTAACCTAACCCAAATTATGCTATCTATATGCAAGACAAAGAGTTTCTAAGGGGAAATTCAAATGTGAATCCAAAGCAGCCCATGGAAACTAGCAAGAATGTTCTGGCCATAGAACATGGCCAGGAATATAAGATTAATACCAGGCCTCGAGAAGAAAATAGCATGGTGCAGTCTTTTTTCCTCGGTTGGCATGCATTGTGTCAGATGGCCATGGTGGCAGGGAATTCTGGGAGTTGAAGTTCCAACACATCTTCAGAGCACCATATTGGGAAAGTCTGCAAATTCAAGTAGTCCTCACCTTAATGACCACCATTGAGCCCAAAATTTATGCTGCTAAATGAAACATTTATTACGTGAGTTTTGTCTTTCTTGCCATGGTTCTTAAGTGAATCATTGCAGTTGTTAAATTAGTAACCAGATTGTTAAGTGAATTTGGCTTCCCCATTGACTTTACTTGTCAGAAGGTCACAAAAGATGATCACATGACCCCAGGACCCTGCAACCGTCATTTGCCAAGCATCCGGATTTTGATCATGCGACCATGGGGATACTGCAATGGTCATAAGTGTGAAAAATGGTCATAAGTCACTTTTTTCAGTACCATTGTAACTTTGAACGGTCACTAAGTGAACTGTTGTAAGTTGCGGATTACTTGGTAGAGGCTACTGGGAGAGAGCTGGTTCAGAGCCTTGATAAAAACTTTCCATTTTGCAGCTTGCATGACAACAGTAATATGGGTCACTTTCCTTAATCCATATGAACGGTGATCATGCATATATGGGCATTGGGATTTAGGAGTCATATATTGGAATAAAAGCTGAGTGGTGCAGTGGCCTAGAGGTGGAGATCTCGCCTCACAATCAGGAGGCTGTGAGTTGGATCCTAGGTAGAGGCAGATATTTCTCTCTGGTCACAATGGGAATATCTGCCGAACAAAATTCCGCATTGGCGACAGAAAGGGTATCCGGCCAGTAAACTCAGTTCCATTCAGTTTCCCAGGCTCCACCCCGCAAGGGATTATGGGGTCGTTTAAAGGAGACGATGATGATGATGATATTGGAATAAAAGCTGCTAAGAAGATGCAGAGTTTATATTATTTGACTTTTTAAAGAGAGTTGGGATTTATTTAGCGCTTTACCTGCCTAAACTATTTTCTGCCTTTTTCAATCTATCACAGGTCCTCCTATGGGAAACAATTTGGGATTTAAAATAATCTCTTGGCAATCTTCAGTGTACCCTTCCTTTCTTCACAACGTATTGCTGAACAATGGAGAACTTATCATACAGCAACCTGGATTTTATTACATTTATGCACAGACTTATTTTCGTTTCCGGGAATCGGAACCCATTGCAGATCCCGACTCAGAGAGCATTAGAAATCCAAAGCAGTTGGTTCAGTACATTTCCAAATTTACAGATTATTACCCAGAAGCCATCCTGCTAATGAAAAGTGCAAGAACCAGTTGTTGGTCTAAAAATGCAGAATATGGACTGTATTCCATATACCAGGGTGGAGTGCTTCAGTTAAGGAGAAATGATAGGATTTTTGTCTCCATCAGCTATGTAGAACTGGTGGACATGGATAAAGAAGCCAGCTTTTTTGGAGCCTTCCTGGTCTCTTAAAGAAGAGGATGAGAGAATAATTAGGCACCCATAAAGAAGTTGTGGAAGACCTGGAAAATTCTGCTTTTGGAGTACAGTAAGAAGTCGTTGCACTAGCCACAGAATTGGATGAAGTATTTAGTTTTTCCTCTCTTAACCACAACTGAGACCAGTTCAAGGTCCCATTATCCAAATTCCACTATAAACATTGCTACAGATACAGAAATGCTAACAAGCCATTGTGTGGGTCCATGAACAATCTTCCAGGGATTTTGGTTTTTGTTTGGAACAGGAGGGTTGCATTTGATTTGTTTCAGCAAATTTCTGTTGATCCGATTATGCATGGAATCCATGCACCTAAGAAGACACATAACAAGTGATTTCAACCTGGGCTGTCGTGTGGGTGTTGCCACTCTGGTGTGGGATGCGTTTGCCGAACCGACTCTGACCATAGAGTGTAAAGGATAAAGCAAAATAAGGTTCCCTAAGTTAGACAGTTTCCTTTTTTTCACATCAGAATGGTGACAGCTGAATCGTACACTTAAGCGTAGCACCTGGAAGATCCATCCAGAAAGGTACCATCTCTGATTGCAAAAGAAAAACTCCATATTGGAAAGCTGCATCCTAAACTCATACGTTCACATACCCGTACCCCTTCACGCAGCTTGAAATGGTACAGTCTTGGGTAGTCCCGTACCATGCAATAAACTCCAAACAAGCTGCTCCTTTTTGAGAATGAAAAATGTGAATCCCATTCGGAAAGAACAGGTTTTGCTTCATGTTCTAATTGGGCCAAACGGATAAAAATAAAAAATAAAAGTCAGATTACTCTGAGGCTGGAAACAGGCTTCAGATTAGTTGGTAACCTCCTTTTAATGCAGGAACATTTTTCGTATGAAAAGATTTATTTTTAAGGTTTGTGTGTGTATATATATATATAAAAAAATAGCAGGCTAACAAAAATCAGGAAAATCAAAGCAATTATTTTTTTGGTAAAGGTCCAGATGCAGTTAAGATACAAACTGAAGCAAGGGATGTAATTTAGAGGAGTCTGAGCAAATCAATAAATGGTGCCTTTTGTTCTTGTGAGAATTGTTATCCCCTGTAGATTACTGCTGAAGACCCTTTAAAGAAAAACAGTAACTCTTAACCACAGTTTCTGTAAAAGCAGTTCAATGTTTCTGAGAGTTTACTGTTTTATGCCAGAAAGGTAAGTGGCGGTCAAAGAAACTCACATTTATTTAGAACTGGAATCGCATACCTGTTTAATACTGGGTAAAAATCCATTTATTTCTGTAATGCCAAATAGTGCCAGGTCTTTAATAGTATTCGCCACGTGGAAATATTGTTATTGAAATGCTATGAAAACCTTCACCTGCAGCATGATTTTTGCATTGTGATTGACAAAAGAATTGCCAATTGTTTCTCCAGCTTCTACACCACACTTTAATGTATACAGCTTAGTGAATACTATTATTCATGGCTCTGTTGTGAACTCCTGAGGATTTCTTTGCAGTTACTGGTGTGGTTTTTCATGTGATCCATTAGCATAACTCCTCTAAGGGATTCCTTCCTATCTCTTTTTAGTGTAGCCAGCAGGAAAATCCCACCCTAACTACAATGGGATTATTCTACCCTACTATGGTTGGCAGCATGTGTTTAACAGAGATAGAAACGTAGACCAACTGCATATTTAGAAGAAATTCCTTCAGAAATGCCTTTAAGTATATGCAAAGAGATACTGAAGTTACACATTGTGTGAAATGTTGAGGTGCAAATATGTAGCATTAGCATTAATGGGATATCCCATTTTAGGATCATCGGCCTTCATTCACACCACTGTAAAACACCCTAACCCTTAAAGTCTGAGTGGAGTCAACCCAATTTGATGGTCTGCAATTTGGGATGACATGTCCAAGGAGGTCTGACTAAGAGCTCCTTGGAGACTGTGTTGAAATAATATTGGGAGATTTTGCCTTGTTGGTAGCAAGTATGTAAAACCATGGCTGTTCTCGTATCTCAACTGCCACGCTCATGGTGATATTCGAGAAGAAAGAATGGGAAAGGTCTGGAGATAAAGCCTCTTCGACTTACTCCTGTGAATTTAGCAAATATGAGGGACAAAAATCTGAATGACCATTAATGGGTAGCAAAACTCTGTCGGGACAGTTTAAATTTTGCAGCCCAAGTGTGGTTGGTTATACTGTGAAGCAAAGCATCAGTTCAGCTAGATAGCTCCATCTTCATTAAAGTTGGTTTATCAAATGGATGCAGGTAAGCTCTTCATCATCCTTTGGGTTTTTTAAGCAGTAGTATGGATGTCAAGAATACTGTCATGTATATATTTTTTTATTTTTGTTTAAAAAAATGGGTTTATTGTGACTGCTTCAAACAATCAGAAGAAACGGAATACTTAAAGCAGAGAGAAAGGAGAAGACCTCCAATCTCTCTTTGGCTAGTCTTTTTTAGGTTGAACTGTAAGCAGTGCAATCATTTACAGGGCAGGCAAATCTAGATCACCATTAGATGGTGTTCAAAACCTGCCACATTATTGTGTCTCCTTGCTTCCATCTTGTGGCTTTTTAAAAAGTTTTTGCTGATGTTTTGTACTTTTATTTTTAATAAAAACTTCAGAATTAATTGTGGGCTCGTTTTTTTCTTGTTACACCTCCTTTCATCTGAACAAAAGCTTTGGCAAGCTGTTTAGTAGCCTCCGGGTGGGAATTCTTGGGAATTTTGCCAAGAAGGCTGAGAGCCACGGTCTCCAGAAAGGAGGAAGTCAAGAAACAGGAAGAATAACAGCAATGGATCAAGTTACTGTTTTTGTGTTGGGCAAACATTCAAATTGCAGCAATGCGTTGCTGCAAAAAAAAAAAAAAAAAAAAAAAAAAAAATTAATGCAAAGGGCTAAATACCAGTAGGCTGATTCAATGGCCACTCATTTTTTCCATGTTTTTTCCTTTCATATTTCTATTGCAAGGATTAAAGAAAATGCATTAAAAAATCATTCAAAATAAAAAGATGGAAAACAAAGTAATAAATGACCAACAGATAATAAAATTATTTGTTCTATTAATGGAACGAATAGAAGGAGGAAAAATACAAGAGAACAAGTGTATCGTGCTTCTTAAACCTAAAACTTAATATAAACTTTTAAATAATCTACATATTTAAAATATGAAATTATGAATAGTCCTCAAAGCACTTTGGTACAACGGCACTGAAAAAAGTGACATCATTTTTCACACTTATTGACCATTGCAAAATCCCCATGGTCATGTGATTTATATTCAGATACTTGACAACTGATTCACATTTATGACAGTTGTGTCCCAGGCTTGTGATTATTTTTTGCCACATTCTGACAAACAAAATCAATGAGGAATCCAGATTTTACTTAACCACGTTACTAATTTAATAACTGCAGTGACTCACTTAAATGTGGCAAGAAAAGTCGTAAAATGAGGCAAAAGTCAACCAATTTTTATCTTGGCAACATAAATTTTGGGTTTGTAGGTTGAGGACTAACTACCTCAGAATTGCCTGTTTCTGGAGAAATAGGAAATTTATGTCAAAGAAAAACATTGTGCCTTGGGATATTTGGGTAGGTTGTGTGTGTGTGTGAGAGGAATTAATAGGAAAAATGGCCCTTTTGAAATGGATAAATAGTTATTAAATCCAGTCCTTGATGTGTTAAGTAATACTCTTTTTCCAATATAGCTCTCAACTATACCCTAATCCTCTTCATACTATAGTGTGTGTAACAGAAGGTCGGCCATTTTGCCTCCAACTTCAGTTCTTTGTCTATCCTCCATCTGCAGCCAGTGTTTTTGAAGTGCCATCATGTTAGACAGGATGTCTTCACAACACATGCCAGCTGTTGAGAAATGCCTCGAGGAATTAACAGAAAGCAATTTCAAGAGCTGTCAACTGTATCTTGTTTAGCTAATAAGTTTGCAGTAAAATGAGGTGTTTCTTTGATTTGTATTTTCACAGCCTCACAGTTTTGTTTTCTTTGCTCCCTGCTGTGCAATACATTAACAAAGGTTGGGGTGTAGTGAAATAGGATGAAAATTTTTGAGGGATTATTTCAGGGTGCATTGAGAGAATCACATTCCTAAGTGCTCCTTGATACTCTGTATGCAGTAATACAATACCAGAATAACAGGTGGAAAGGACTTGGAAGTCCTGTAGTCTAACTCCCTATTCAAACAGGAGACCTATCCCATACCATTTCAGACAAATGGCTGTCTCTTCAAAATTTTCAGTGTTGGAGCACCCACAATTTCTAGAAGCAAGTCATTGTTCTAAGGGTCAGGAAATTTCTTCTTAGTTCTAGGTTGGTTCTCTCCTTGATTAGTTTCCATACTTTGCTTCTTGCCTTCATGTATTTTGGAGAAGAGGTTAACCCACCTCATCTTTGTACCAGCCCTTCAAATATTAGAAGAGTACTATCATGTCACCCCATAATCCTTTTCATTAAACTAGACATACCCAATTCTGCAACGGTTCTCCATATGTTTCAATCTCCATTCCCCTAATCATCTTTGTTGCTCTTCTCTGCACTTTTTCTAGAGTCTCAACATCTGCTTCATATTGTGGCAAGCAAAACTGGATGCAAATTTAAATATATATATATATATATATATATTTAAAATTCTTAAACTGCTATCCCCAGTTTGGTAATTTGTTTCATTTCCCATTGTGTGATTCTGAACCTTTTTTAAAAGAAATAATATTAATATTGCACGACCATTATAAAAAAAAAACTAGTATTCATTTCTCATCATGGAAATGGGGAAAGAAATGGGCTATTATCTGCCACTCCATCGACCCAGAATTTGCCTATAATTTGATTACAATATCATTTTGCTTTAGCCTCTTAAAATCATCACAGGTCTGAGATGGAGTGGAACATCAGAGAATGCTCTTAACAGTGGATTAAACAGCTGTGATGCAGGTATTCTATATGAAAATTCTATTAATGAATAGGGTCTAGGCAGAAAGTAAGAACTATGCAACAAATTTCTTCCCTTAGCTGGCTGATGCGCTTCCGTTTACTTGAGTGCAAGCTTGGTAGCTCCTCAGTCGTCGTCTTTACATTTTAATCAGCCCAAAAGAGCTGGGATGAACTTCTCCAACTTTTTTTTTTTTTAAACCCTCTAGCACAGGGATGTCAAACTCCGTCATCACAGTGGTGTCACATGATGTATCAAGATTTCCCCGCCCCCTTTGCTAAACCAGGCGTGGTGTGGCCAGCACATGATGCATCCGGCTTACGGGCTGTGAGTTTGACAGCCCTGCTCAAGCAGATTTAAAAAAAAGTGAAAAAAGTGATGTGATCAACATGGATGCCACCATACACAGAAGCAGCAAGTCTGTAGTGCTCTACTTGTTTCGGTTTCGTTACCTACTGTAGGGTGAACTGTTAGGGAGCCTCCATTTTTTTTGTGGAACCTCAACTCTATCACAAAAATCACAGCAGCCATTCAGACAACACATAATAGAGATTAGTTTAGTCCTAAATATGTGTGACACTGTTGGGAACTAAAACCAACCTCTTGAGAACTAAGCAGTTGGGGTAATAGATCCATTTTTCTTGTTCCCGTTACATGCTTTCCCTTCACGAGACCAATAAGTGTGAGGTTGTCAAAAGTTGCTTATAGCTTATATTTAATATTCATACCATCTCTTTGCATCAAGCATTAATCTGTTAACTAGTACAGTGATCCCCAACCTTTTTAACGCCGCGGCCCGGTTTCCCCAACCTTTTTTATGGCGCGGCCCGGTACAGACATCAGCTGGGCGCCGCCATCTTGTTTTGATGAAAAAGTGCTTCCGGTGAGCTCACCGGAAGCACTTTTTCATCAAAACAAGATGGCGGCGCCCAGCAAGCCAGCGGCCTGGTAGGACTTGTTCCACGGACCGGTACCAGTCCGTGGACCGGTGGTTGGGGACCCCTGAACTAGTAGACCTAAAAAAAGCTGAAACATGGAGTTGGTCCAATCAACTTGTTCAGTGGAAACAACCAACTAAGTAATACAAGCATGTGTCTTAAATTCTTATACATCTGACAGGATAGCAGAAGGTGATGATAAAACTTTTCCCTACCTTGGAGCCCTCTAGATATATTGGACAAATGTCAAATGTCCTAGTCAAATTGACGGACTGTTGGTAGAAAGACAATTCAGTCCACATTCACAATCTGCTCTCTCAGTGCCAGCATTTCACCAGCACCTTCTCCATCTCTGTAGCCTTACAGAAATTTAGGAATGCAAAATCAAGGGTGACCCTTTCTCCACAGAGAATGTGTAGATTACACAACACTGCAGTTCAGGGATGCTAAAAACAACAACATTCAGTTGTGATGCTGAATCAACATCCTTCCATTGGCATAATGGGAGAGAACAGGCCCAAGGAGTCTCACTTGGAGCTGTCCATGGTCCTGCTGTCTCTCATGAACTAGAATTGATTTCCCTTATAGCAATTGTACTTAGACATATGCAGTGCTTTACAGCCCTCTGGAAGCAGTTTACAGAGTCATCATATTGCCCCCAACAATCTGGGCCCTCATTTTACACCCCCCCCCCAGAAGGGTAGAAAGCTGAGTCAACCTTGAGCCTAGTGAGATTTGAACTGCCAAATTTCAGGCAGCCATCAATCAGCAGTGTTAGGGATAACATTGTTTTACCCTAACTGTTTTGGGTAAAGATAATAAAATGACGAATCATGGTTTGTCACATAAAGTGTATGTGACTTTAAGCTAAAGGAATGTAATTAAGGGTGCAGCTGTAAAAGTACTATATAAGCAGCAAGGCACTCTCTGGCTCTTACTGGCTGACTTATTGAAGACTGCATTCTTGCTGGATCGGGGAGGAGAAGAAGTGTTGGATTACTTTGAAGATATTTCTCAACGGAGAGAAGATAAGTTTTGGACAGATTTATTATATGTGTACTGACACTGGCTATTCGACAGGGACTTTGCAATTAGAGTATCCTTGACAAGACTTGACTGAAATTGATATATGACTAATGGACCATTACATTTGACTATGCTATAATTCTTAAATGGAATAAACAATATTTTTGATAGCACAAGCGTATCTGTATTTTTACTGCGTGTTAACGAGAAAACTTATCTCACACATTTACCTGTCTTCCTATCTGACTTCGCTGCACGTTCTGTTTAGTTTGTTTTCCTTAACACCCGTTGGGGAATCCAGGCTTAACAAGCAGAAGTAGTCTGCAGTACTGCACTGTGCCACTGTGGCTCATTATAGTGCAGTACAGTGTCTTAATTTGGCATTATTAAT